ACGACCGTAAGGATGGGGCCTTCTTATACTTGTTCGATGAGGAACTTTATCAGTCGCACTTGTGTTGAACGGTTGCGCTTACAAGGGCAAGTGCAACGCCTCAATCGATCTGTGGGTTGACTTGTGCCAACAAACAGCGCATGGTAGTCAATGACTATATAAAAGACAAGTGTCGTTTCCCGTACGCGGGAGGGGAACAGAGACATGGAGCCTCGTTCCTAGTCTACGATGATCTCCATATGGATATCTTGCTAGGTATACACTATCTTTCGGTTGCACAGCCCCAATTTGATTGGGACCGAAAAGTGGCCAAACACACTTCGCCCGGAGGAGGGACCACCAGATTACATGAGTATAAAGGTAGTAGTATAAAGCTAGTCCTACGGATGCATGTGAGCGGGCGCGTTCTATAATTATTCAAAGCAAAATTCGGAGGAGGGTATGTACTTACTGTATGTCTCGGCAAAAGGTGAGCCGGTATATATAGAGGGAATGGTCGCTAATTACCCTGATCTATTCGAAGAGCCGAAAGGGGTTGTTGAGAGGGAGGTCGTCCATGCGATAGAGATCATCCCAAGATCTAGTATTTTGAAAGGTAGGATCTATCGAATGTCTCAAACGGAGCTTGATGAGCTTCACCAACAACTCAAGGATCTCATAGAGAAGGGTTGGATCCGACCAAGTGTCTCCCCTTACGGGTCTCATTTCCTATTTGTACCAAAGAAGGGGGGAACATTGAGGATGTGTATTGACTATAGGGGCATCAATGCCATCACTGTGAAGAACACAGAGCCCCTACCACGCATCGATGACTTGTTGGACCGAGTGCAAGGGTGTCGATACTTCAGTAAGATAGATATGAAGCCCGCATACCATCAGATTGCAATTCGGCCCGAGGATCAACACAAAACCACTTTTCAAAACAGGTACAATCTGTACGGGTTTGTGGTGATGCCTTTCGGCCTTTGCAATGCTCCTGGCACCTTTCAGCACGTGATGAACCGGATCTCTCATGACTACTCAGACATTCATATTTTTAGTAGGACTGTCGAGGAGCATGTAGCCCATTTAGATAAAGTACTCAGTCTCCTTCAGCAGCACCAGTTGAAGATTAACCACAAGAAGTGTGAGTTTGGCCGCACCCGGATCTTGTATCTGGATCATGAAATTTCCGGAGAGGGATTGAAGCCCGATGCCACGAAGGTGGGCAGCATTCGTGACTGGCCGCGTCCTCAGTCTGTGACTGAGGTGAGATCCTTCTCGGGGATGACCAGATACTATTGCAATTTCGTGAAAAACTATAGCATAGTGTCCACACCCTTATCAATCTCACACACCTTGACACCCCCTCGGAGTGGACAGACAGGTGTGCAGTTCCTTTCAGACATCTGAAGCATTCTCTTCCACACCATAAGGTCCTTAAGTCCCTGATCCTGACCAACCAATTGTTGTAACCACGGATGCCATCCAATATGGCATTGGTGTCGTGCTTGGGCAGCAGGAGGGGAAGAAGTTGAGGCCTGTAGAGTACATGTCCAAAACGATGCCCTCTCAGAAGTTGGCTAAGTCCACTTATGAGAAGGAGTTTCTTCTATGTCATTGGAGGCACCCTTGGGAGGCACCATTGGTGTCATGCTTAAAGCGTTAACCCATTGGAGGCACCCTTGGGAGTTTCTTCTATGTCAGGACTGATCATCAGACCCTGCGGTGGATGAGGACACAACCTGTACTCTCCGATGCTTTAAAACACTGGATCGAAGTCATAGAACAGTATGACTTCGAACCTCGGTACATCAAAGGGGAGTACAACAAGGTTGTTGATGCACTGTCGAGTAGGCCAAACCTCCTTGGTGCGCTGATTACCGAGTTTGGGCTTGCGGACAATGTTACTCGGTCCTTGGTGGAAGCCTATCGCGAGGATCCGTTCATGGCAAAGATCATACGCAGACTTGAGGCAAAAGACAAGGTGATTGAGTTTGTGTTGGTCAATGGCCTTCTGTTCTGCGAGAAGGCCGGGAATAAACGTTTGTGTGTGCCAAATAGAGTCTTTGAATAGTTTATTTTTAGGTGAGTGTCACGATGCCACCGGACATTTTGGTTACAAAAAGACTGCAGCTAACTTGTTGCAGCAGTTCTGGTGGCCCACGATGATGAAAGACGCAAAGCTGTATGTGGAGACTTGTCAGGTGTGTCAGAGGGACAAGCCACGTACACAGGCCCCTCTCGGGCTACTCAAGCCCCTTCCGATTCCAGAAAGAGCCTGGTGAGAGCCTGTCCATGGATTTCATGGAAAGTTGGTCACCAGCAAGAGTGGTATGAGATGTCTTCGTCATTGTGGATAGGTTCAGTAAGAATGCTAGGTTAGTTGCTATGCTGAAAACAGCAAAGACCGAGTACATAATCAGACTGTTTAAAGAGAACTGGGTCACTGGGTCAGAGACTTTGGCCTGCCGAAGTCCGTCTTTAGTGACCGGAATGTACGATTCACGAGTGAGTTGTGGAAGTCTGGAGCTGCTGAACAAGGGACTCAGCTGCAGATGACCTCTGGGATCCATGCCGAGGCAAATGGACGAGCAGAGAAACTGAACCGTGCTGTACAACACCTACTGAGGCACTACATCAAGCCTAATCAGGTGGACTGGGATGATAATTTTGCTCTCATCGCCAGCCTGTACAACAACACTGTGCACAGTGTGACAGGGGTGAGACCCAACAGTCTGCTCCTAACTTTTAAGCCTCGACTGCCTCTAGATTTGTTACTACCTAAGAACCAATCCACTGCTGCGCCAGGAACCTTGCAGTTCGCTTACCGATATGAAAGTCTTATACAGCAAGCAGTGGACAGCATGCACAAAGCCCAGGCGGCGATGATAGAGTCAGAAAACAAACACCGCCGCCCTTCTACGTTCCAGGTTGGGGATAGAGTCTGGGTCAAGGCATCCCAACTTGGGCAAGAGCACGGGATTTCCCAAAAGCTCATGCCACAGTACTTCGGACCATGGGAGGTTCTAGACATTGTCAGAGATGATCCCAATGGGCCTTCCTATGTAATACAGATCACTGGTCACCTTCGCACTTACCCTGTTTTCCACGCCTCCAAACTTGCACCTTCCAAGGAAACTGATCAGTTTCCCTCTCGTCGGTCTATGCTTCCCTCAACCATCGATGGAGAGGTCGACATCGATGACATTGTTGATCACAGGGAAATGCCGGTTCCAAGATCAACAGGCAGGGGCTGCCGTCCAAAGCCGAAGCTACAGTATTGTGTTCGGTTCAGACATCACACTGATCCTAAGGAGGACAGATGGTTCACAAGAGAGGAACTGATGCAGACCGCTCCACAGGTTGTCGCTCACTATCAGAAAGCACTGCAGAAAGGAAAACGCCAGATTGAGTGATTGAACTTCTCAGACTGTCGACGTATGGAGGAGGGAATGTGAGGGCACAGCCTGCCCTGAGCATCCTGGGCCTCTCAGCAAGGATGGCCGCCCTAAGTGAAGGCGGCCCTGTAAAATCACATGAGGCCTATTTCATCCTTTTTCGCAAAGTGGGGCTCAGACAATTATGCTGCATTAGATGGTTTAATGAACCCAGGCCGTGGGAAACAGTATCCGGTCAACGGCTTCTAGGCCCTTCCTATGTTTGTTGGCACAGGCCCTGGGACAGACACAGGGCACAAACTGCACGCAGCACGCTTCATAGTTGGACACGCGTAACCACCCAGGGCCCTGCGGAATACTCTGGCCTAGGGCACTTGGGGGCTACCGGAAGCTTTCTGGGCAGGGGCATAGCGCAGACAGGCAGGCCATTTCCATAAAGGAAAGTGCCTGCTTCTGCATTTGGCATTCGGGCACTCGCTGCTTATGCGCAAGCGCTGCTGCGCCAGCTGTTGGAGGGAGTGCCTACGCGCTCACGGGTGAGCAGAGAAGAAGCAGGCAGCGATAGCCAAGCTGGCCTGCGCATTGCTGGATGGGGCCCATGGTGGTTCTTCGGTGCATGTGGCATCTGTGTGGGGGATAGAGGTTGTGAGTGAAGCGTGAGACATACCTGGTGCTTGAGGCGAACGGAATTGGCCGAGATAGGCTAGATAGGATCTGCCATTCGTAGTCTGGGCGCTGAGCGCCAGATAGGGATTCGACACTGGTTTATTGTTGATGATGATGAGACTATGGTGGAACTCAAGTTGCAATTCAGCTTTTGGTTCGAGGTCAAGACTATCTGGTTTCATGTGTACGATGCTGCTTGGGTTTCTGGAATTCGCTATCACTCGTTTTCCTTGCACTTGTTCAGTTTTCGTGTATTCCGTGATGAGCACAAATGCATTAACAAGATGTCCACATTTTCACCCCTCGACACCTTTATTTCCACCCATTCTGAGGTTCCATGCCAGAAAAACGAGATTGCACAGAATGCAATCTACATCCATACACAGTAGTTCACACACATCGCTGACACAAAAGCTCCATACACATATAATTCATCAGGTACAACCCAGCCCAAAATGAAGGGACTTATTTTGCCCGTGCAATTGGACTGCAATATCTGTGACACAAACCAGGCATTCTCTTCCCCTGCACTGCCTACACTCTCTTCTCCGTGGATGACATAAATTCCAGCTCTCAAATCACTCATTTCCGCTCTGCTCTCTCCTCTTTGGATCATACACTCTGGTTTCTGTTTTATTTTACTGCTCTTATTTCAATAGCCTGTCCAAAGGCCATCCACAGGGCCAGGGGCAGATTAAACTTTTTAAAAAGGATATTGCCTTGCATCACCGGTAATATAAAGGCGTCCAACTGCACGAGCATCAACGATTCAATGAGAGACAACAAGTCAATCAGACTCACATCTGCTAGGCTTCCCATTCAAATCTCATCTAGAGCAAGAAAGAGAAGAGGGGGAAGGGGGGGGGGGAGACAGGGGGATGGGACATTACTACAGAGCACATCAACACACGCCTTAGCCCTTGTGCATTAAAAAGCGGGAAAACAGCAAGAAAACACTGGAACATTTCTTTGCATTAAACAAAACATAACAGTTGTCAAAGGCCTGCAGCTAATCTGGGACTCCAACAAACATCAATACTCTATTTTTCTCTCGTTGTTAACATTATTCTTGTGTGCATTTTTCTTCTTCGTAAATTTGGGCAGCTGCATATCTGTGCATGCTGGTCTGTTCTGCCATATGTGTTTCGTCCTACTCACTACACAAGTTCATAAAGAATGTGGCCGTGCCGGACCGTTTCATCGGCCTCTCACCAACTGGTCACGAAGTCTGTGCGCAATATCCATGGCTATCCCACTACATGGGTCCTCTCACCAACTAGAGTTATATTTTTCTCTATTTCCTTACACTCCTTTTGAAACCTAGCTCTAAATTGTCGAACATGCAATCGGAAAGTTGAGTCATAGGCGTTCAACAAGCAGTTCACCTTTACTCGCTGATATGCAGGAAGCATAAATGCAAGAGGACGCTGCAACATACATGCAAGCGGACGCCGTGCGGAAAATTCCGCACGTTTGGCGCATGAGCGGACCCGCACGGTCCAATGCATGGGGGAAACTTCTTAAAAAACAAAAGGGGTCACATGGCTGGGTCAATGGTTACCTGTGTCCCCTAAAGATTTGTGTCGGGATAAAAAACAAAGAAAAACTAGCGAGAAGGTAATGCCGCTACCTAAACATCAAGACTGATGTCCCGGACACCTTTGTGAGGCTATTTCTCATGCCCAATCGGACAGAAAGGAAATTCTGTATGACTGTACTTAAATATCAGTTCCTTAGGTGCACTCCTGTAACTATAAAAACAGCCAAATGTACCGATACCCTTTCCGCCCGGCAGCGAGGCCGAACCTGTTTCAGGCCGTCGGCCTGACCCCGGTCAGGTACCGAGTTACTCCGGCCTAGACCTAGGCCGGTATATCTCTCCAGCCTAGGCCCAGGCCAGGTTAGTGATTCTTTCAGTTGTTTGTTCATCCATTGAGTCGGACTGGGACCTTCACTCAGCTGCTGCTTCTCGTGTGTGTCAATCTCCTCTCTCTCTGTGGCATACTGCGTAGCCACACGGGCCCTACAGGGCCTGTCCCGGACATTCAGCCTAAAAGCCTAAAACTTAGGGCTTACAGGCCCCGTTCATTTCAGCCTGGATGCTGAAAAACGAGGGCCTGCAGGCCCTACCTCGTTTCAGCCTATTTCTGGGTTTCAGACCCAGAGTTTTCAGCCTGAAACGGAGGGCCATTTTCAGGCCCTCATTGTTTCGACCTGCTCCTAAGACTCAGGCACGGAAACAGGGATGCGGAACAGGCCCAAAATAGCCTGTTCCTCACGTACTCGAGCAGGAGCTGCAGCTGCAGCCCCTGCCTCCCTTCGGCAGGCTCAAGAGGCACACCCGTAGTACATAGGAGGTTCCCATGCACTTCACGGGTAGGTAGTGTCAGTAGGCGGAGGTAGTCTTCAGGATTCGGCCGCAGCACTCAGGAGGAGCGCTGCAGTAG